TTTTCGAAATTGTGCTTTGAAGCAAGCTGGCACGACTTAAAGAAGCGGGGAGGTTGGGGGGGCGCAGCCCCCCCCCCCCCCCATTCGCAAATACGATGCTCGCATCATGGGTTTCGAAAAGATGCTCACATGTTGAAGCAAGCTTGCACGATTGAAAATAGCGGAGGGGGTTGGGGGGGGCGCAGCCCCCCCCCCCCGCCCATTTGCAAACACAATGTTTGCATCATGGTTTTCGAAAGTATGCGTAGGCTTTGAAGCAAGCTTGCACGATTTTAAAAAGCGGGGGGTGGGGGGGGGGTATATTTTGAAGCAAGCTTAAAAACAAAACGCTTTCTTTCTTTATTTCTTTCTTTATTTCTTTCTTTATTTCTTTCTTTATTTCTTTCTTTCTATCCTTCTCTTGTCAAAACCTACAGAAAGCAACGATTTCCTCTCAAAATACAGAGGGAATGGAGGTTTTCATACGAAAAACCTAGAACGAAAAACCTAGAACATGGACCAAATCCTATGAGGGTACGGTGGTTTTCCTCAGAAAAACCCAAAAAATCGACCAAAAAAAAGCCCCCCCCCCCCCCCTCCCCCCCAAAAAAAAAGACCCCAAAAAATAGGCCCTCCATTTTTGTGACACACCTATAGCTTAAAGTTAAGATTCACAAGTTTAGTTTTATGTTTAGTGACACACCTATATCTTAAAGTTGAAATTCACAAGACAAACCTATAGCTTAAAGTAAAAATGCACAAGTTTAATGACACACCTATCTCTTAAGATTTGGAGTCACAAGTTTTGAGACTCACTTATATTTAAATTTTGGAGTGACACATTTTGTGACACACCTATATAAGCTTTGCTTCAAAACCACGCCCACCCCGCAAAAGTCAGCCAAGTCTCTGGGAACAGGTCTACGCTGCCCTCTTTCCTTGACCCGAGCTTGAGTCCAAAAGGCAGGGCGAGAATCCGCGATTAGTTTGGGCTCGGCATGCTGAACATCCGGCTCTACCTATCCGGCTCTAGTCATTGACTCATTGACAGAAGCCACGCGTGAAAGGGCCAGTTGTGCTCGGCACACACGTGCGCCACGCAGCTCAGGATCACCGGCCCATACCGGCCCTCGTGTGCAAAACTGTGTCGAATCTGCACCGGCTCTGAGCATGGGGCCTGAACGGCTTAAGGCTTATAGGGTTTAGGTGTTGAGGGGTTAAGTGCTAGGGTTTTGCGACTTGGGTTCCGGATTTGGATTGATTTACCGGGGTCCCCTAAGCCCGAACACCAAAAGCCGAGGAAGTGTATGTTTACGATTAACAAAAACAGGGAGTACGTGATAGCACATGGATTGAAGCCACATCGAAGCGACAGCAGCCTGGGAATGCAACAAAACATGGAATGCACAGCACTTGAGCTCCAGCTGCACATGCGGACTTTTCTAAATTCGGGTACCCTTGCGGGAGTTTGAGGCTTCCTACAGGCTCTGAGCAGTCGCAGTTGGTGAATATTGTTTCGCAAAAAGGCTTTACCCTCATCCTGCGTCACGGAGCATGTCATGACTTATGTTGACATAGACTCCGAGGTTAAGCACCTCCCGAACCGCAGGAGCCGGAGTCCTGCAAGGCCCTGACCCAGTGCCTCGATGAGCCAAACGCGAAAGTTCTCGCGGACCATGAAGTCAAAGCCCAAGAGCTTTGGAACTCAGACCAACACAAAAGCGGCACTTCGCACTTCCAAAACTCCTTCAGACGGATGCGTGCTTGTCAGAGACTTCTCCCCGAGTGTAGACCGACAGTTGCCTGTGGACCCATACTTTGGGATCAAAGGTCGCTTGACGTGCCTGTGGGTATCATGCCCAAGAGACGCCAGCACAGTCTGTGCGTGGACATGCCCACGACTATCCACGAGCCAAAGGGACTCACTCTCCGATCGAGAAGAAGCTCGATGACAACGAAATGCAGAGGCTACCGTTGGCCTAGCGCATCCTGATCCCGGTGGACTAAACAAGCGAAGGGTCGAGTGGGGAAGAGTCCGGGAAGAGCTTGACGGTTTTTGGAGGAGGTGTCATCGGGCCTCGAAGCAGTGCTGGATGCCACGCGGATTGATCTTGGTGCCAACAGCACGGAGCGTGTCCGCCATCAGAGCCTCCGGGTCAGCCCTAGCCCTTACGTTGACGCATCGCTGCATAGACGAAAAGGGGCAAGAACACGAAAGTCATGCGGTCTCTCACGAAAACCTGTGCCCTGCCACCAGCCTTCATCTGCGGAAGGAGACCGCCGTGACTGCTCAAGCAATCACGACCATGATGAGCATCCAGGTGGCTCTGAAACTCCTTACCACAGGTTTCATCATGCGAGCCCTTAAAGAAACATTCAAGATTATACCATATATATATATATATATATATCTTCATATATATATATATATCTATCTATCTATCCCGAATAAAGATATCAGTTGAAACTATCTTTGATCATGTTTTTTTATACAATAACCATCATATGTAAAATCATAGAGAAATTAACATCAATATCCCCGCAGGTGTAACACAGCTACTCCTGTTGACGATTGTGGGCATACTGCGGCAAAACGCTTCCAGCATGACCCTGCACCCCTTCGTGAAATAGTTCTTCTCACCATCGGTTGTGGCTGCGGTATTCAATACGCTCAATCTCAAACAGCCCTGTGCCGCTTTCTGGCAAAACCCATGCGGCTCTTCAACCTATTACGGCGACTGTCCGCCCGGATCCACTAACTCGGTGCAAATGCACTACGCCACGCAGGGCGTCAATCATCGGCCTGAGGGTATGGTGACGGTGGATTTTGACATGGGCCGCTTGGGCAGCAAGGACGGCTATCTCCACATCGTTGTCGCTTGCGATCAGTGTGGATTCCCCAACTGGTGCCGTTCAACCCGGGAGAACATCGCCAATATCAGATACACCATTAAACGTGGACGCCCGTTGGCTGAGGTCGGTTGTTCCAACTTCCGTTTTTCGGGAAGCCAGCCGAAGGTAGTTCATGACGTTCTAACTGGAGAGATCTTCTGGTGGGACCGATCGCCAAATGCCGAAAAGTGACCTGTCTTCAAACAATGGTCAGCTTGGCATTCCGGCAGTACCACAACGGATGGAACGAAAGCAATTCCTACTAGACCAACCGAATCACGTTGCTATGATTTGAGGCAATGTGCGCAGATGCTGAACGGCTTGTCTACATCGTTGCACCGAATTAGTGGATCCCGGCGGACAGTCGCCGTAATAGGTTGAAGAGCCGCAGGGGTCTTGCCAGAAAACGGCAGAGGGCTTTTTCGCGTTGTTATGATATGACGCAATGTTGCACAGACGCTGAACGGCCTGTCTACAGCGCTGATTGCAGAAGTCAATCGGGAGGCCACACATGTGGCATGAGGTGACGTGATATTGCTGGTGGTACCACGACTTCTGCCACATGTTGCCATTGGTATCATACCCAACGCCGTCTGGATTTTTACCATCGAGACATCTTGGCAATGGAGGACGAGTGCCCTCAACCAGGGAACTGCCGTTCAGGGAAAGGTCCTGCGGAGCCCCCGGTGACTTCCGGACCTCGAGGAGGCAGCCGTCATCAGAGGGCGTCGTCGCCTGTGGATTCTGCGGCATGAAGAGTTCTTCAAAGGATTTGGAAACAAGGGGGTGAGGCCGGATGACAGATTTAGCAACAAAACGCCTGCCATAGGGACGATGATAAGAACATTGTAGGGAACCGTCGTTTACCACGAAATCCGAAAGATGATCCCGCCTCTGCCAAAGCCAGCATGCACATGGTCCACGCACATCGCAGCATGTCAGAAGAGCTCCGGGGGCAAAGGATGTGCTGGTGAGCTTTTGCAGACCGCGGCTTCAGCACAGACATGCAGACTAGTAGGGCTGCCCCTGCAACCTGCATACAACAGCTACACTGCGGTCTTCGCAAGAAAGCCGCCTTGCCCAAAACTCAAGCGAGCGCTGGCCGCGAATGGTATACATGACAACACAAGCACTGGGCACATGTTTGCTTGGCTGCCGCAGATGGGAAGGTCTGAAGCTAGCAGCTAGAGCATGGAAGGGTACAGACTCTTTGGGCTTCACCTTAAGGGACTGCGTGCGGTCCAAGGCCTTGCGAAGCTAGGGCCGCTAGGGCTCGAGCATACTCCACGTCAGATCTCCGGCAGCTGCATCGAGCCGCCACGCTCGGGCCTGAACTCCAAAGATAGTTTAAGGTCCCCCGCCTTGGGCAACATTGACTTGTTCCGGTCCTCCGGTACATGCCCTGCCCCTTGAGCGGAAAAGCACTTGCCTGGTGATACCGCCCAACATCTTGAACCGAAGATGCTGCAGCCCGAGCTGCGAAGCCACAGAACCGATGACCAAAGTATACCAAGGCCCCTCATTGCCCGTTTTGGGTTGAATTATCAAGGATTTGGCCAGGGCCGAATCAAGCCCAGGGCCGCAGCAGCCTGAACTCGACTCGCTGCACAGCAAACTGGCATAAACTAGCATGTCTTGTTTGCAACTCTCTGTGAATCAGTGGGCAACGTGGGCGGAGGGAGGTGCCCCGAAGTCTTTGAAGGCTCTTGGGTTCGGCATCTTTGGGCTTCAGGCTCCTTAAGGAGAGGGGTGGGAAGTCTCCCGAAAGTCAAATTGGAGGCCCCCGCCCTCCACTTACTTTTAGAAGGGTCGGCCTAGTCATAATGGACAATCATCAGAACGTGAAGGCTCTCGAGGAACGTGCCTTGGCCCGTTCGAAGTGACGCTCCTTTCGCTTGTGTGCACCACTCTGCAGGTGGACCTTGCAGCAGCAGGGTGAATGACAGATCTACGGTGTGACAAGAACTTCAGAAACACCTCCAGCTGCTTTTCGGTGAGCAAGATCTTGTCAGGGCATAGCTGGCAGTGGTATTGCCCGCGGAACGTCTCCTCGCGTTGACCGCGGATGATGAGGCTTCCAGCTTGTCTCGGCAAGGCTCACCCCCCACGATCTCCAGCATGGTGAGTTGCTACTCGCGTAAGTTATCGTAAAGTGCCTTCACAGCATTCTTGTGCGGCAGCGCAACCCGGGGACCAAACAAGCTGCAATATGCGCGCCCATGCACCGCGTCGGCGCCTCGACACATGTCTCACTAGGGGACGACATAATGTCGTCCCAGGTTAATTAACTACCACAACTACTTCACCACCGCTTGGCAGAGTAGAGAAGAGAAGCTCTGAGCCCCACCGCACCCCCATGTGGATGCGCGTTCGTGAAAAAGCATCAGAGTTGTCAGAGCACCAGGCCTAGAACATGCCAGAATGAAGACTCAGAGTTCAACATATCCAGCACTGCTGAGACACAAGCCTGTGGACACCACGCAAGCAACGCTGCATCGAAGCGACCGCCTCCAGACCTGCTCCAAGCAACCCTCCCCCCTGTGCAGCATTGAATAAGGGCTGCAGAAACATCGGGCTGCGGACGCGCAGCTTTCGAAGAGCACGTGCGGGAAGCGAGACGTGATCGTCTAGAGAGAGCGACAGGCATTGCATCTAAATCATGCTGCATCTAATGTGTCTGTGCATGGGTTCTGCGATGTGCAGCATGCGAGGACCTCGAAGATTCGGTAGAGTCCAAGGTGGTAGACCTGCCAGCAGCAGGATGACGCTGGCGTGGGAAGGGGTAGGAATGGCGGTCCTAGCAGGAGGCTGGCGGTGCACTCCATAAAGAAACCAGAAGTATACAGCTTTTCGCATGCTCTTGCAGTCAAGAGTCTTCGCCCTGCTGCCGTGGCCGTACCAAGTTTGCCAGTATCAAAAAGCAACTCCAAGGATGCTTTTTACGCTGGGTTTTGCATGAGGGGAGCATCCTGCGAACTCTTTTGTAAATGGGCACACAAGAAGAGGCCAGGAGATGGGAGCAGCTGGGATACTGCTGCCGGGCTGCGCAAGTGCCGCCGAGAAAGCATCCGCGAGGGCGCGGTTCATATCTTACCTCAAGGAACTTGCGAGCAGGTTTAGATGGCTATCTGCAATTCGCTCGTAGCACCTTAACTCTATCTTAGGGTGGAGCCAAGATGGCTATCAACCCTAGGGTGTACATGTGATAGCCCAAGATGGATCCAAGCTAGGACCTCTAGGGGCTTTCGTGTACACCCTACAGCCCAGGATGGAGCCAGCATCCATAATCGGAAATTTTACACGCGTGCTTGTGCATTGCATGGCTTAGTTGTCTGTTTGTTATTTAACACGAGCGCTTGCAAGGGTTTAGGATTCTTTGCATTTGTTTAAGACATGCCGGGAGTTCGCCCCTCCCCTTTGCCAAGGCATGCTGGGAGTTCACCCCGAAAAGTTAAAAATATGCAGAATTCTTTGTTAGCTTTTTTTGCAAGGTGTCTTTTCTGTATCGGGCCAAGAAGGAAAGCCAAGGTATGAAGTCTGTATCGCTCAACAAAATCCAAGGTGTAGCATCATGAGCATCAAGTGCTCTGCAATCCCAAGCACCATGGGCATCTCCTTTTCTTCCCAAAAAAACTTCAAGTTCTTGAACACTTCAAAAGGGCTCCAGTTTGATCACTTCGAAGGGGCTTCAATCGATCACTCCGAAGGGGCTTCAATTTGATCACTTCGAAAAGGCTTCAATTTTGATCACTTCGAAAGAGGCTTCGATCACTTCGGAGAGCTTCAATTTGGGATCACTTCGAAGGGGCTTCAATCTTGATCACTTCAAAGGGGCTTCAATTTGATCACTTCGAAGGGGCTTCAATTTGATTACTTCGAGGGCGCTTCAATTTGATCATTTCGAAGGAGCTTCAATTTGATCGTGCATGAGGGTGCATGGTGTGCATGTTGGTGCATGCATGGGGTCCAGAAATAATTTGGGAGTTTTTTTGGGGGGTGAATGTTTTTTGTTTCTCCTGGGTACTACTACTAGTACTGGTAGTAGTACTAGTAAACGTACTAGTACCAGTCCTAGTCCTAGTACTAGTACTACTACTACTACTACTACTACTACTACTACTACTACTACTACTACTACTACTACTACTACTACTACTACTACTCCTACTACTACTACTACTACTACTACTACTACTACTACTACTACTACTACTAACTAACTACTCTACTACTAACTACTACTACTACTACTACTGCTACTGTACTACTACTACTACTACGACTACTACGACTACTACTACACTACTCTACTACTCTACTACTACTACTACTACTACTACTACTACTACATGTACTATTACTATTTATTATTTACTACTACTACTACTACTACACTACTATACTACTACCGCTACGACTAACGACTACGAACTACTCTACTACTGCTACTACACTACTGCTACTACTACTACGACTACTACTACTACTACTAACTACTACTACTACTACTAATATTACTCACTATACTACTAACTACTACTACTATTACTACTACTTACTCACAACTACTACGACTACTACTACTACTACTACTACTACTACTACTACTACTACTACTAACTACTACCTCCTACTCTACTACACTTACTGCTACCCACTACTACTACTACTACTACTATACATACTACTACTACTACACTCTACTACTACTACTACTACTACTACTAACACTCACTACTACTACTCCTACTCCTACTCCTAGCTACTGCTACTCTGTACTACTACTAACTACTACTACTACTACTACTACACTACTACTACTACTACTACTACTATAACTAACGACTACTACTATTTACTATTGCTACTATTGCTACTATTGCTATTGCGACTATTACTACTATTACGACTATTACTACATTACTACTATTACTACTATTACTACTATTACTACTATTACTACTATTACTACTATACTACTTAAACTACTATTACTCTATTACTACTACTACTACTACCACTACTACTACACTACGACTAACTACTACGACTACTACTACTACTACTACTACTACTACTACTACTACTACTACTACTACTACTACTACTACTACTACTACTACTACTACTACTACTACTACTACTACTACTACTTCTGCTACTCCTACTACTACTACTACTACTACTACTACTACTACTACTACTACTACTACTACTACTACTACTACTACGACTACTACTCCTACTGCTACTGCTACTGCTACTGCTACTGCTCCTGCTACTGCTACTGCTACTGCTACTGCTACTGCTACTGCTACTGCTACTTCTACACTACTACTACTACTACTAGTACTACTACTACTACTACTACTACTACTACTACTACTCCTACTACTACTCCTACTCCTACTACTACTCCTACTACTACGACGACGACTACTACTACGACGACGACGACGACGACTACTACTACTACTACTACTACGACGACTACCACTACCACTACCACTACCACTACCACTACCACTGCCACTGCCACTGCCACTGCCACTGCCACTGCCACTATTACTACTACTACTACTACTACTACTACTACTACTACTACTACTACTACTACTACCACTACTACCACTACTACCACTACTACCACTACTACCACTACTACCACTACTACCACTACTACCATTACTACCACTACTACCACTACTACCACATCTACCACCACGACTACTACTACTACTACTACTACTACTACTACTACTACTTCTTCTACTACTACTACTACTACTACGACTACTACTACTACTACGACAAAGACTACGACTACGACTACGACTACGACTACGACTACGACTACGACTACGACTACGACTACGACTACGACTACGACGACGACTACGACCTTTGAAACAGTTGGGGGGGGGCGCAGCCCTCCCCATTTGCAAACACAATGCTCACATGATGGGCTTCAACAAGATTCATTTGCTTCGAAGCACGCTTTTGCACGGCTTTGACAAAACAGCGGAGGGGGTTGGGCGGGGGGGTTGGGGGGGGGCAGCCCCCCCTATTTTTTAACACAATGCTCACATGATGGGTTTCGACAAGATTTATGTTCTTTGAAGCACGCTTTTTGCACGGCTAAGAAAAGCGGGGGGGTTGAGGGGGGGGGGGGCGCGCAGCCCCCACCCCCCGTTTTGACAACATTCATATGCTTTGCAGCACGCTTTTTGCACGGCTTAACAAGCGGGCAGGTTGGGGGGTGCGCAACCCCCCCCCCCCCCCCTTTGCAAACACAATGCTCACATGATGGGTTTCGAGAGCAGCCCCCCATTTGCAAATACAATGCTCACATGATGGGCTTCAACAAGATTCGTTTGCTTTCAAAGAAGAACAAGAAGCCAAGAAGCCGAAAAGCCGAGAAGCCAAAAAGCAAAAAGCCGAGGAGAGCCGGGAAGCCAGGAAGCCGAGAAGCCAGGAAGCCAAGAGGCCGAGAAGCCTCGACGCGCCAACCAAGAATGCAAGAGGCCAAGAAGACGAGAAGCCAAGAAGCCAAAACGCTAAAAGTCGAGAAGGGCCGGGAAGCCAGGAAGCCAGGAAGCCAAGAAGCCGAGAATCCAGGAAGCCAAGAGGCCAGGAGGCCGAGAAGCCTAGAAGCCCAGAAGCCTAAAAGCTAAAGAGAAAAGGCGGAAAACAAGAGGCAGAAAACAAAAACAATTCCCAAAAAAACAAAAAATCCAAAAGAATTAGGATTCCAATTGCGTGAGGGCAGGCGCATGGTGCATGGTACATCCATGCAATGGTGCAATGGTGCCGTTGCAATGGTGCAAGGTGCCATGGTGCATGGTGCCATGGTGCAATGGTGCCATGGCATGAGTCGCACCTTAACTCGACCTTAGGCTGGCCATCAACCCTAGGATGCGCGTGTGATAGATCCAAGATAGCTATCGGCAAATTCGCTCGTAGCACTTTTAGGGGCTTTCGCGCGCACCTCACAGCCCAGGGTGTACAAGAATGCTCTTGTCTCCGTTTCGAGCTGTAGGGTGTACATGTGAGGTTCTAGGGGCTCGTGTACACCTGAAAGGTGTTGCGAGCGAATTGGAAAGGGTGTTGCGAGCGAGTTTGCCGAGCGTACATCCTACAACCCAAGAGGGAGCCAAGATAGCTATCAACCATGTGATAGCCCAAGATGGATCCAAGCTAGCTATCGGCAAATTCGCTCGTAGCACCTTCAGGGGCTTTCGTGTACGCCCTACAGCCCAGGATGGAGCCAGCATCCATCTTGGGCTGTAGAATGTACAAGAATGTACCAGGTCCCTAGGGCTCGGGCGGGGTTTCAGGTGCTGCGACCACATTTACCGATAGTCGTCTTGGCTCCATCTTAGGCTATATAGGGTATGCGAGAGCTTAAAGTGCTACGAGTGAGTTTGCCGATAGCCTTCTTGTTTACATGTCGGGCTATAAGGTGCACATGAGTGGTTCTAGGGGCTCGTGTGTACACCTGAAAGGCGAGCGACTTTGAAAGGTACTGCGAGCGAATTTGCAGAGTGTACACCCTACCATCCAAGATGGAGCCAAGATGGGTATCCAATCTTGGCAACCCTACTCTAGGGTGTACATGCGATAGCCCAAGATGGATCCAAGCTAGCTGTCGGCAAATTCGCCCGTAGCACCTTGAGGGATGGAGCCAAGATGCCTATCGGGAAATTCACTCGCAGCATCTTTCGGCTCTCCTGTACACCCTATAGGTCAAGATGGCTATCTGCAATTCGCTCGTAGCACCTTAACTCTATCTTAGGGTGGAGCCAAGATGGCCATCAACCCTAGGGTGTACATGTGATAGCCCAAGATGGATCCAAGCTAGGACCTCTAGGGGCTTTCGTGTACACCCTACAGCCCAGGATGGAGCCAGCATCCATAATCGGAAATTTTACACGCGTGCTTGTGCATTGCATTGCTTGGTTGTTTGCTTGTTATTTAACACTCCTTTCTGTATCGGGCCAGGAAGGAAAGCCAAGGTATGAAGTCTGTATCGCTCAACAAAATCCAAGGTATAGCATCATGAGCATCAAGTGCTCTGCAATCCCAAGCATCATGGGCATCTCCTTTTCTCCCCATAGGCATGCTGGGAGTTCGCCCCTCCCCTTTGCCAAGGCATGCTGGGAGTTCACCCGAAAAGTTAAAAATATGCAGAATTCTTTGTTAGCTTTTCTTGCAAGGTATCCTTTCTGTATCGGGCCAGGAAGGAAAGCCAAGGTATGAAGTCTGTATCGGTCCCACCAAAATCCAAGGTATAGCATCATGAGCATCAAGTGCTCTGCAATCCCCGGCATCATGGGCATCTCCTTTTCTCCCCATAGGCATGCTGGGAGTTCGCCCCTCCCCTATCCCCCCTTCCCGCGCGAAAAATTACACGAGTGGTCGTGCATTGCATTGCTTGGTTGTTTGTTTGTTTTGAACATTTTTTCATAACACGAGTGCTTGCAAGGGTTTAGGGTTTATATTGACCGGGTTTTGGGCGGGTTTTGAGCGAGTTTCTCGTTTTGCTTTTTGCTGAAAAACTGTGTTTTTTTCTTCAGTTCTTTTTTGCAAGTTCTGAAAAATAGTTGATGCCTTTTGAGGTCTTTTGTAACAAGCCGTTTATCAAGCCACCGAAAATGGCTTTGTGATACACCAACCGAAAATGGCTTTGTGACCGGCTGATGGCTACAGCGCCTGCAGTCTTTGGTTGAAGGCTACAGCCCCTGCAGCCTTGCTTCCCTGCAGTCTCTGGCTTAAGGCTGCAGCCCCTGCAAGTTTAAGGCCCCAGGTCCCTGCAGTCTCTGGCTTAAGCCTACAGACCCTGCAGTCTTGCTTCGCGCTCCAAGCCCTACAGTCTCAAGCTTAAGGCCCCAGGTCCCTGCAGTGCGCGCCTCCCGAGTATTTGCTTGTCGCGCTCCTCGCTTTTTAGGCTTTTCAAGAGGCAACCCTGAACCCTAACTAAACCCTAAAGCATCCCTCAATCCTCAATGGCCCAAAAAAATAATGCACCACAAAGCAAAGACCCGCTCAAACAATTTCTTTTTCCTGGCATCCCCCCCCAACCCCCCACGCTGGAGTATCTGCAAACAATCAAACAGGGTGCTTGCGCGGCATGCCCAATATTTGTGGTGTTTATTTTGCTTGTTGCTGCTGCACTATTTGCAAATGGGGGGGGGAGGGCTGCGTCCCCGCCCCCAACCCCCCCGCTCAAAATCTCTCACACAAGCACAGTCTCTAAAATCTGGCACACAAGCCCAGTAATGGCAAATGCGGGGGGGGGAGGGGCTGCCCCCCCCCCAACCCGGAGTATCTGCAAATATTCAAATTAGGTTACTTGCTCGGGATGCCCAATGTTTGTGGTGCTTTTTTGCAAACGGGGGGGGGGGGGCTGCGCCCCCCTTGGAAACTCTTGGGCGGCACAAGGCCTCTGCGCGGAAAATTGCCCTAATGGAATCTTTATCATGAAGATTGAAATTTCTTCATTTGCAACGCCGTTCGAGTTGTTCCTGCGACGTGCGAAAGATCAGTTTGCAAAGACAAACTTGAAGCCGAGGAGCGGTTGAAGCGACCGTTGTGGAATGCGACCTCTGGGCAGCGCTTGAAGGCTTTGACCCCCCCCCATATGATTATATTCATTCTACTTCTCTATCCCAAAAAACGTCTCAACATCTCGCGCCCAGCCTTGCCGCCGCCGCAGTCCACGACTGTGAAGCGCTCCGCCCACCAGCCGCTCGGCCTCACAGGTTTAGGGCCTCAAGAGCTCTCACGACGGGGCGCCCTTCCTGTTTTGGCCATTCTGTGGGTAGGGAAAAAGGTCTCTGTCGAGGGTCAAAGCCAAGGCATCCTTCTGCCCACTTCGGGCCAGGTCTTGGGATCCGAAATGAAGTGCTTGCTTGCCATTGCTTGACCATTCATGCCCCAACTACTACTATTGTCATTGCTATTAGTATTGCTACCATACTACTAGTACTAGTAGTACTCGTATTATTATTCTTAGTATTGGTGTTACTACTAACCAGTATCATTGCTATAATGTTCTTACAGCTCGTGGTCGGCCATGTGCTGTTTTCCTTCTGGGGCTCTTCAACCTATTACGGCGACTGTCCACCAGGATCCACAAATTAGGCGCACATGATGGAGAGGCCACTCCAAAATCACGTTTCATTCCTGATCCGAGTTCAATGCTTTCAGAATCCAAGCTCGGTTGCACACCTTCGTTGTCAAATTGCCTTGTGCTGATACTGAAATTGTCACTATTATGTCTGTTGTTATTACTTCGTTCATTATTACTAGTATTATTACTACTATTACTACTACAACATCTACTACAATTACTACATATTATTACGAGTATTATTTCTATGTTTATATTAAACTTACTATCACTAATGATACTTACCATTACTACTATTACTATTACTGTTCTGGGAGCAGCCTTTCCAGCATCAGCGCAAAATTGCATAAAATCTGCACCAGCTCGGAGCTTGCATGGCCCGCGTGGCTCTTCAACCTACTACAGCGACTGTCCGCAGCGGGTCATAAACAGAGTAAATAACAAAAACAACAATAATGATAGTAAGTAATTGTCCAATACCATGCGTTCGATGCAGGTCGCTGCATCGACGGTGAACGCTTGGGAGCTGAGCTGGGAGGAAAACAGGAGAGACGTTATCTTAAATGATTCTGTCTCTTGCGGCCTTCTGAGGTTCAGACCCAATGTAGTTCTCATTGCCCGTTAACGCTATATAAAAGAGCATTTGTGTGATGTAGCCATTGCTCTCTGGGGCGACCTACTCTACGAGTAATAGTAATACTAATGATAATAATATACTGTATCTTAGTATTACGATGACCGCTATCAGTCTTATTCTTGCGATTTATGACTTCTTGAGACGGTCCCTGCCCCGCTCTTTTGGCTGGGGCACAAGTTAAGCCCTCTTTGCAAGCTCTTCTTGTGGACCCAGCTTTCATGGGAGTTGTCTCATGTGGTCAACTAAGATCTAACTTCTGTTCACTGGAGCTCTCCGCTTGCAGGCCCACACAGCTGCAGCTTATGCAGCCTCCTGCACGACCACAGTCCCTGAGCTGATCTGCACTTTGGGCAGCTGTGCCTGTGGTCTGCTGTCTCTCCCCGAAAGCCACTCAATGGTCTCCATGGCCAATGCGGCGTGGCGCGCCTCATCGTTCGCAATCGCCCAAACGATCTTCGCAAGAGCCCGGCGGCCTTCCGACAACACCTCGCGGCCATCCAGCTTACCCTCGCTCTGGCCATGCAGAGTTTCAAGGGAGCGCTGGAAGAGCCGAAGCGCCGCACGGCCCTCGCCGATGAGACCCTCCTCGATGGCGGCATTTCGGAGCGCAACTAAGTCACGCCGTACTTCAAAGCTGTGTTCTGGGAGGTCCAAGCGTTCGATGGCAAAGCCACCGTGGCCATCTGTCTGGGTAGCATTGGCGAGGTCGCCCCTCAAGCTTTTGAAGACAGAGGGCGATTGGAGTTCATGGTTTGCACCACGCAAAGGCCCAGAGACAGATGAGCATGCACAAGTTCCTCCTCCTGTGCCTTGATGGCGCGGCGCAACAACCTTGGCGGTGCTCCTGCAACAAGCAACTCCAAGCAAAGTTTCGCAAAGGAACCAACTGACGCATGCTCTGCCAAGCCCGCTTCCTTCCAATGCTCACGCTCCTCAGGACCCGCACTGGCAAGCTCCGCTTGTGCCACAGCAAGCATGTGCGGGAGTTGCGACTCCATCGCCAGAGTGCCGGTTGCCTCTGGGAATGGATTTCCGGCGCCAAAGCCACGCAGGGCTTCCTCCAGCAATTCCTGAGGCATACGCGCAGCTCTGCCGCTCACTGCTGACAGCATTGGGTGACCCAAGTTACTGGCGGGGAATCCCCACCCATCAGCCAAATCCTTGAACTCACGCGTTGCAGTGGCAGCAGCCAGCAAGGTCTTGCCGTTCAGGGTTAATGGGCGGCCAAGTACCTGTTTTGGAGTGGACTGAATGGAAGGCGTGCACCCAGTAATATAATATGCGCCAGGAAACCGCTCAGACCTTGTTGCCTGCCAGCAGTTCCTTCCTCCGACAACGTAGCACCACATTTGCCCATCATGGTTGTGAGCCGCACAACCATTGAGGCCCACATGAACATGTCCGCTCATCCACTCCGTGGTGCAATCACATGGGCTTGAAGTTTTCGACGTGAAAGGAACCAGGGCGTAGATTGCTCCTGTCTCGGGGTTGCGGGCCATCCTGGTATCGGAGGTGATCACGCCGCAGCCCGCGGGCGCATCTGCCAAGGAAGGTCCTTTCACATGATCAACTTCAACGTAGGTGTCGTGCTGCATGTACGGTCCGGCACACCAGTTCTTATTGCACATGTGGCAAGCCTCAACGTAATAGAGAGTTCCGAGAAACCATATCGTCTCCAAGCTGTTTTGGCTGATTGACACCTCGCAGAACTTATGCCATTGAGCACCGACATCATCCATGGTGAATTCAATCTTCACCTTGTCAACAGGTGGGCTCGACGGATGAGGCTCTTGTTGAAGCTTCACCTCCCCCAACTTCACCGCAGTGGGGCAACGATGGAGCCCAATGTAGAAGCTTCCACTCCTATCCTTGCGACCGCCCCATGCCGCATCAATATCGTCCCTGAACGCATTCTCAGGTTCCCATCCGTCGCCTTCAGCCGTGCCACTGGAAACAACTGAGCATCCGAAAGGCGATGGCATGAGTTTGTCACCTGTGTCGGTCAGGAACTGCACCTGCAATTCATGCCACACAGCATACAGAGTCAACTGTCAGTTACGGGGACACATATACAGTATACAGCTAACTAAAAGCTGTTTAGTTTTGAAATGCCAGCTGCCTGCTTCACATCCCATGCCCACATCTCTTCAGAAGGCTTGATGGCGGTGATTCGCCAGCCCTTTGCCCTTATGCCTGACGGGGGAGGAGGAGCTGAATGTGTTGCACCACTTCCGGATTCGGACGTCACTTGCGTTGCTGCTTGCGTTGCTGCAAGTGGCTCCTCCGAGGTCTCCAGCTTCTCCGTCACGTGGTCCGAGGCTTTGCTCTGCAATGCGCATGACTCATCTGCTTGGTCTGTAGCGGGGATCTCCATGCCGGTAGTCAAGATGGCACCGACACACGCAAACAGAAACATTGCCATGTTTGCCATTTTGGAGTGCGCCGAAGATGTCTCAGCTGACTGAGCTGACTGGAGTCTGAAGCCGAAACTGTAGCAAGGCGCGCCGACAGGTACTGGACAGAAGCCAAAACAGACAAATTAAACAACAACTTGCGCAACAAAGCTGCCTCCCATCCTTGGATCCAGGCGCACAGGGGCATGTACCTACTCTGCAAAACACCTACAAAAACCGACAGCACCGGCACCAGAGCCGCGGCCGTGTGGTTATTCACATGAGGTCTTGACCGTTTGTTGGTGAAGTGCATAGGCAACGCCCCTGTGAAATGCATTAGGACATTTACTTTCGCATAAGCTAAGCTGTCTCTAATTAGAGGGGCATCGTGGGGAGGTAGATTGATTAATTGATGCGTGCGCTCGCTAATAACTGGTGAGAAATTCTTTCCGTCCATCGTCGTAGTGTCGTAATAACTTCTTCGTCGAGATCACGACATGAGCTTGGAGGCTGCATTCAAGCATGAAATTTTGCACGATGCCCTTGCGATGAGCCGTTGCCGGAAAGTTCAAACAAAGCTAGGTGGCTTGGCACGCGCCATGTTTTTGCTTCTGACAGGGCTCGGGACAATAACACAAGACGCGCATAGCCGCACAGCCTTCAACCCAGAACTCTCCCCTGCCATGTTGCAAGTTGCTGCAGTATGAATTTCACGGGCCGGTGACGATCCCTTCGAGTAACCCCTCGGGGGGTTGCCCGCCTTCTTGCAAGTTCAGCCCGCAAACGTGCCCCGAGGGGTGACACGAATGCGTGTGATGTCGAGCCTCAGTTGAAGCAGCATCACCTGCGCCCAGTTGAGGCGGCGAGAGTTCTAGGGTAGGTTGTTCCAGTGGTTCTGCTGATCGGCTTTCCTCTTTGTTGATGAGGTGCGAAAGAATGCGCATCTTGCATGTTATGCCATGAAGCAAAGAAAGGCACATGCAAGATGCAGGTTTCAAGACGCGGCGCGCTCTTCCACATTCGCACGAAGCGGTTGTGGATGTCGCTGTGGAGCGCAACCTGTCCGAAGCCAGCGTCGACCACCTCACAGGCTTTCTGAGAGAAGTGGGCAGTTTGGGTCTTCTAGGGTTTAGTGTTTGCAGATGTCATAAAATAGAGCCTGGGTTAGGGTCAAAAGAAGAGCCTTGAAGTGCTCCCAGGTCCGCCTGGCAGAGCGATGTTCTTCCTCGGCTCGGCTCTTCGAGGTCTAAGCCCAAAAAATAAAATGAAATAAAAACAAGGCGTTCGGGAGAACGGCGCTTTCAAGGGGCTCCCAAGGCTTTCGCATCCCAACTCTCTCTTTCTCAAACTCCAGAACACCGCAAATCCACCCCCCACCCCAGCCCCCTCTCCCAAGCCCTCTTAAAAAAGAAACATAAGCCTGAAAGCCTCACCCTTTTTTCCAGCATGGCTTCTCGGCCGATGAGTCCTTCTGGTTTGCATCGCCATGCCTGGGCTCAGAACAGAACCCGCTCGAAGCCCTTGCCCCAAAGGGTGTAGGGTCTAGGGTGTGATTGTTTAAGTTCCCTTCCCCCCTCCCTCCCAACCCCAAAAAAAACAATACCTGTTGTATCTGATGGCTTCCTAGACCCACAGAAGGCCTCTGCTCTGGTCTGCGTTTTCATTCTTGTCATAGACTATTGCAGCATCAACTCCGAAAGTATAAGAGGCCTCTGAACCTTCTTGACCGCTCCATTTCTGCAAGCAGCGCGCCGCCACTAGAGGTGCCCAAAGATCGGTGATCTGCTTCTGGGATTTGATTTTATTGGGGACGGCACGTACAGGTACAGCACTTTGAAGGTTTTGAGGGTTCAAAGTGCCGCACGGTCCCTTAAAACACTGTCGGGCATGCTATGCGGGCTTAGGGGCGGGTTGGTCATGCCAACCAACTTGTACCGGCTTATCCTCTGGATGATTTGGATATGCGAGATGTCGCTTTTATTTGATATCGAACCCATGACTTGCGTTTATTAGTCTCGGTTTTGGACTTACATGGTTCCACCCGTAGGGGTACCAATGAAGGCTCTGAGGAGACTCCCTTGATATCACTCTCGCAACCTGGCGAAAAATCAAGACTCTGGCCTGTCTACAGCTCACTCAGAAAGATTCTACGCTCTAATCTTTACACAAAAGTATGGAAGCAAACCTAACAGAAGATGAGCAGCCCCTGGGGAAGCACACTTTAATGGGCCAAGACCAGGTGCGGCGGCTTCTGCAACCAACACAGCCGCCTTCGTAGCCATTGAATACGTGCCAGCCCATCCACCGTGTGTGCTCACAGCACTTCGTTTCGTATTTCCTCTCGAAGCCGAGGATCGTTGAATTTCTCGTCGTTGAGGCCAGCGTAGAAGTCTTCCTGCAAATACGCGCAGCACGATGCAACAGTGCCGCCTTCTTCATGGTACTCGTAGAAATTGTCGAAGGTAGACATTCGTTGCAGCTTCCACCTGCGAACCATGTCGAGGAGGATGACGTGATTGTAGGCGTCAAAGGTATGATACTTGTCTTCCTCAAGCGCCCGCGGGTTAGCTGTCAAGTACTCTATCACAAAGGGCCAGTGCACTTGAACATCAAGGAAATCACAGCACCACCTTTTGCGATCCAATCTTGGCATTTGTGCCCATAGCGTCCCTTCTGGCACTCTCCCATTGCTTCATGGCTGGCAAGGCCAAGTGCGGTCACAGCGCTTTGCCAATCATCGTAGAATCTTTCTTGGAGCGTCTCATCGCCAAGATTATTTAGCAAGGCAACCTTGCCGTTTTGGACTTCTACTGCAAGTTTAGCTGCCCTTTCTATTGATTTCGGGACGTTAAGGTCAGGGTGAAGCATGCCCTTGGTTTCCTCAAGCATCTCGTCTTTGAACTCCTTGGTCATCAATTGCACCACTGGCTCCTCGGACTCGGGGAAGTTAGCCCAGCCCAAAGCTTGCGACAAGGTGGCGACAGAGACTCACCCCGCCCGAAAAGTCAACAAGCACCAGCCCCTTTTAACCCCAAAGCCTGAAGCTTTCAAAGGCTTTCAAAAGCTGTGCCAGGAGACTCCATGCCCGGAACTTCCCGATAATCCGAAGGAACGCTTCATGCACCACGTGGCTCCTTGTGTTTGAATGCCCCCAAAGACCGGCGCCATTGCAAGCCGCCATGCGAACATCACGAAGCTCAAGGACTGCAAGTTGCCAGGCGAACGTCACATTCTCCAAGTTCTGGTTGTAGGTGCACCCGAAGCTCAAGGACTGCAAGCTGTTTTAAAAAGCGGACGTGGTGGGGGAAAGCGGTGGGGTAGGGTCTCAGAAATTGACGGGCATGTTCCTGTGACGTGGTGGGGGAAAGGGTGTGGGGTAGGTGTGGTTGCAAGCGTGCCGGTTGTAAGCGTACCCGAAGCTCAAGGACTGCAAGCTACCAGGCAAATGTGACGAAACTCAAGGACTGCAAGCTGCCAGGCAAACGTCACATTCTCCGAGCTCTGGTTGTAAGCGTACCCGAAGCTCAAGGATTGCAAGCACATTGTCGAAGCTCTGGTTGTAAGCGTAAACGGAGCTCAAGGACTGCAAGCTGCCAGGCAAACGTCACGTTCTCCAAGCTCTGGTTGTAAGCGTGCCCGAAGCGGCAAGCTGCCAGGCAAAACATCGCACTGTCTAAGCTCTGGTTGTAGGCGTACCCTAATCAGGCAAACGTCGCATTCTCGAAGCTCTGGTTGCAAGCGCGCCCGAAGTTCAAGGACTGCAAGTTGCCAGGCAAACGTCACACTTTCCATGCTCTGGTTGTAAGCGTGCCCGGAGCTCAAGGATTGTAAGTGGCCAGGCAAACGTCACGAAGCTCAAGGGCTGCAAGTTGTCTAGCAAACGTCACATTCTTCGAGTTCTGGGTATAAGCGTACCCGAAGCTCAAGGACTGCAAACTGTCAGGCAAACGTCACATGCTCCAAGCTCTGGTTGTAAGCGTACCCGAATCCCAAGGACTGTAAGCTGCCAGGCCAACGTCACACTCTCCAGTTCAAGCTCTGGTTGTAAGCGTACCCGAAGCTCAAGGACTGCAAGCTGCCAGGCTGCCACTACGTCAGCCACTGGTGAAAAGCGCTCTGGGTAGGTGAGGGACTGGGGAAGGGACAAGCTGCGCATGAACGCGTGATATGCATGATCAAAATCGTACTTCACTGCATGACGCTGAGTTTAGGGAGGGAGGGGGTGGGGATCGTCACTGCTCAACATAGGCACGTGCTGACTACGCCCGCGTGGTCCATGGTCATGCCGGTGGCGTAGTCCTGTGGTGGTACTTGTCGATTCGGATACCATTTCTGAAATTGGCTGGCGTGTTCTTGCGAAGAGGTTGGAGGGGAAAGGGTGTGGGGCACGGTCGGCCTGCACCGCCTTGTTGATTGCCGTCTGCGTCAAACGTCACGAAGCTCAGGACTGCAAGCTGCCAGGCGAACGTCACATTGTCCAAGCTCCGGTTGTGAGCGCACCCGAATCTCAATGACTGCAAGCTGCCAGGCCAACGTCACACTCTCCAATCCAAGTTCTGGTTGTAAGCGTACCCGAAGCTCAAGGACTGCAAGCTACCAGGCAAACGTGACGAAGCTCAAGGACTGCAAGCTGCCAGGCAAACGTCACATTCTCCAAGCTCTGGTTGTAAGCGTACCTGAAGCTCAAGGATTGCAAGCACATTGTCGAAGCTCTGGTTGTAAGCGAAAACGAAGCTCAAGGACTGCAAGCTGCCGGGCAAACGTCACGTTCTCCAAGCTCTGGTTGTAAGCGTGCCCGAAGCGGCAAGCTGCCAGGCAAGCATCGCACTGTCCAAGCTCTGGTTGTAGGTGTACCCTAATCTCAAGGACTACGAGCCGCCAGGCAAACGTCACGAAGCTCAAGGACTGCAAGTTGCCAGGCAAACGTCACATTGTCCAAATTCTGGTTGTAGGCATACCCGAAATTCACGGACTGCAAACTGCCAGGTAAACGTCACACAAGGACTGCAAGCTGCCAGGCAAACGTCATATTCTCCAAGCTCTGGTTGTAAGCGTACTAGATGCTCAAGGACCGCAAGCTGCCAGGCAAACGTCACATTCTCCAAGCTCTGGTTGCAAGCGTACCAGAAGCTCAAGGACTGCAAGCTGCCAGGCAAACGTCACAAACTCCCAGCTCTGGTTGTAAGCGTGCCCGAAGCTCAAGGATTGCAAGCTGCCAGGCAAACGTCACGAAGTTCAAGGACTGCAAGCTGTCATGCAAACGTCACATCATCCAAGCTCTGGTTGTAAGCGTGCCCGAAGCTCAAGGATTGCAAGCTGCCAGGCAAACGTCACGAAGCTCAAGGACTGCAGGCTGTCAGGCAAACGTCACATCATCCAAGCTTTGGTTGTAAGTGTACCCGAAGCTCATGGATTGCAAGGTGCCAGGCAAACGTCACACTCTCCAAGCTCTGGTCGCAAACGTATCCGAAGCTCGAGGATTGCAAGCCGCCATGCGAACATCACGAAGCTCAAGGACTGCAGGTTGCCAGGCGAACGTCACATTCTGCAAGTTCTGGTTGTAGGTGCACCCGAAGCTCAAGGACTGCAAGCTGTTTTGAAAAGCGGACGTGGTGGGGGAAAGGGGGTGGGATAGGGTCTCAGAAATTGACGGGCATGTTCCTGTGACGTGGTGGGGGGAAAGGGTGTGGGGTAGGTGTGGTTGCAAGCGTGCCGGTTGTAAGCGTGCCCGAAGCTCAAGGACTGCAAGCTGCCAGGCAAACGTCACGCAACTCAGGGACTGCAAGCTGCCAGGCAAACGTCACATTCAGGTCCAAGGTGTTGGGCAACTGGGTCTCCGCCAAGCTGCCAGGCAAACGTAAGCTCTGATTGTAAGCGCACCCGGAACTCAAGGACTGCAAGCTGCCGGGCAAGCGCCATACTCTCCAAGCTTTGGTTGTAAGCGTACCCGAAGCTCAAGGACTGCAAGCTGCCAGGCAAACGTCACGAATCTCAAGGACTGCAAGCTGCCAGGCAAACGTCACACTCTCCAAGCTCTGGTTGCCTCAAGGACTGCAAGCTGCCAGGCAAACGTCACATTCTCCAAGCTCTGGTTGTAAGCGTACCCGAAGCTCAAGGACTGCAGGCTGCCTGGCACACGTCACGAAGCTCAAGGACCGCAACCTGCCGGGCAAACGTCACATTCTCCAAGAATTGGTTGCAAGCGTACCCGTAGCTCAGGGGCTGCAAGCTGCCAGGCAAACGTCACACTTTCCGAGCTCTAGTTGCACGCGTACCCGAAGCTCAAGCACTGCAAGCTGCCAGGCAAACGTCACGAATCGCAAGGACTGCAAACTGCCGGGCAAACGTCACATTCTCCAAGATCTGGTTGTAAGCGTACCCGAAGCTCAAGGATTGCAAGCTGCCAGGCAACGTAAGACTCTCTAAGCTCTGGTTGTAAGCGCACCCGAAGCTCAAGGACTGCAAGCTGCCAGGCCAACGTCACGAACCTCAAGAACTGCAAGTTGCCAGGCGAACGTCACATTCTCCAAGCTCTGGTTGCAAGCGTACCCGAAGCTCAAGGACTGCAAGCTTCCAGGCAAACGTCAGACTCTGGCCGGAGGAGGTGGAGGTTGCCATTGCCATCCCTGTCGTGGTCTCTGGTAGCCGTCCATGAGTCGCGCGCGGTTCGTCAGGGCAAAGCAAGATCAACTACTTTGTCCTATGTAAACCATTGTGGTAGCGAAACCAAACAAAAAGAGAATGTTGCCAATCATGCCGGGGGCTGGTTCACGAGTAACAATAGAGGAACATACGGCACACCGGCCGTCTTGCAGAGCATCGTTGGCACCCACATTAATGGGCCCGGCATGTTACTAGTGCACGAAAAACGATAGGACTTTTCATTCTCACTCGCCAGGTGAGCTCACATTTTTGGATTATCCTATGCGTCCGCACCGAAGTGAAGACTAACATAGGCAGCATGAACGCGTAGGAGCGAGGCTCCACCTACACCCGCGGCCCAAGGCGAGGGCGGGCTGGCTGTATAACACACTTTTTGTTTTAGTGTTTCCACATAAACTGGTAGATGGAGATGCTCCGAAGGTAGAGATGCTCTAGCAAGCCACCGAGGCGATCATCCATGGAGATGGCAAAGAACTTCACGAATGGAGCTTTATGTGAGTAAGTAAAACTTCCCACACTTGCACGTGAATCACGCCATTCACACGCTCTCACACTGCTCATGCTCATTCACTCAAAGCTGCTCATCTCCACCACATGCTCAAACACCGAACATGCTCAATCACTCATGTCTGCTCAGCTCTTCCACATGTTCAAACGCTAGTCATGCTCGATCACTCATGTCTGTTCATCCCGTCCACATGCTCACACACTGTGCGTGCTCAACCACTCCAACATGCTCATGCACCACTTCCTGCTCCACACGCTTATGCTTCACATGCTCCAGGTCTGCGAGGTGTTGGGCAGCTGGATCTCCGCCAAGCACTTTGCACCGAACTTCAGCATCGGCAGGGCGTTGGGCAGCTACATCTCCTCCAAGCTCTGGTTGGAAAGACGCAAAACCGCACGCCAAACGTCCACGTCTGCAGGTTGCTGGGCAGCTGGACCCCTTCCAAGCTCTGATGGAACTCTGCGCTGAACGTTAACGTCTGC